CCACCATCACACACATGCACACACATACAGGCACACATGCACACACATACACACAGGCACACATGCACACACACATTCACACTGATCACACACACACATGCACACACCTTCTCCTTGGTCCGAAGGTCATCAAACATGTGTTGAATTTCTTGTTTCCAGTCCTCCTGCAGGGAGTGGAAGGATTCCAGCGGCATCTGGAACAGGGCCGACTGCTCTATGGCCTCCAGGCGGCTCAGGATGCTGCCAAAGTCGGGCCGCTGGTGGGGCTCGGGGTCCCAGCACTCTGTGGGAGCAGATGGCCACGATGTGGCTCTGGGCCCTCCCAGCTGCAGGGAGCACAACCGGGAGCTAACCGGAGGTGGCAGGGAGGACGAAGGAAGGTGCAGATTTCTGTGGGGCTTAAAGAACTCACAGTACCATGAATGTAAGAGTCACGGGTTGTGAGTCCAAATCCAGGCTCTGCCAGCTGTGTGACCTTAGTAAGTCCATTTCTCTGGGCCTCAGGTTACTCCAAGGACCCTCCCAGCTCTAGGTCTGGGATCCTCTGAACTTTCTCACTCTCCCAGGGAGGAAGGGGCCAGCGCCGGGGGCAGTGGGCTCCCTATAACTCACAGGGGGGCTCCAGTTAGCGGGAGGCTCTTTCCTGCTCGAGATAACCTAGAAATGTCTCCGAGGTTCCAGTGCTGAGATTCTGAGGCGGCGTCAGAGGGGAGGACTCCTGGGGAGCACGGGCTCAGCCCTCAAACTCCAGGCGGTAGGAGCAGGGACAACTCATCATTCTGGTCCAAGGCTATATCCCTGGGACACCGCCCGGAATCCTGCCCCCCAGTGTGGCCCAGGATGGGAGTGGAGCTAAGTTCAAGGAGTGGGCAGCCAGGTGGCACAGTGGATAGAGCTCTGGACCTGGAGTCAGGAAGATCTGAATTCAAATCCAGCCTCACACACTTAGTAGCTGTGCAACTCTGGGCAAGTCAATTAACTTCTGTCTGCCTCAGTTTCTGCATCTGTAAAATAGGGGTAATAATAGCACTAACTTCTCAGGATTGTTGTGAGGATGAAATAAGATAACTGGAAAATGTTTGGCCAACCTTAAAACGCCACGCAACTGCTAGCTATTGTAAACGCTAGCTACAAAAACTCCATAAATGCTATTTTAAAAATCCCTACATATTGATTTACTGACGAATCAAGTGATCAGATAAGCAGACAGCGGATGTCGGAAAGAACCACCCCTGATCTTCCTCAGCTCCCAGACTGAGGCTCCGTGTAACTGGAGGGCAGTCCAGGGACCCAGTGGTTAACCACCGTTCCTGATGTGATCGGACCGCCTGGGAGGTGTGAAGAGCAGGTCCAGCTGGCCAGAGGGGTTGGCCCCATGCTTCCGACCACGGCTTTTAAAAAACGACTCTCATTAAAAACATTTGCAATATTATAATGGTTATATGCTAATGTGCAATATACTAATTATTATTATCGTAAGAGCTGACACTAAAGTGACTGACTTCACAAGTACAGAATGGGGGAAGCGGTAAGACAGCAGTCTGCCTGGAAAAAGATCTGAGGATTTTAGAGGACCACAAGCTCAGTATGAGTCACAGTGCCCAGTGCCCAGTGCTAATGGCTTGGCATAGAGTAAGTGTTGATCGACTAAGTCTGCAGGGTAATGGGGAGACCAAAAAAAGCCCATGGGAGCCTGGTCTCACTGTCAAGAATAAGAAAGCTCTTCAGCTTGGTCAGACCACATCCGGAGGGGCTGGGTCCAGTTCTTGGCACCAAGGGTTCACCGATAGACCAAAGGGCATCTAGGGGAGGGTGACCAGGACAGTGAAGGGTCTTGAGTCCATGCCCCATGAAGAGTAAAGGAATGGGAGATGCTTAGCCTGGAGAAGACTCAGGGGACATGATATCTGTCTTCAAGTATTTGGAGAGAAGTGACTAGGTTAGTTTTGCTTGGCCCCAGGAGGCAGAACCAGGAATACTGTGGGGTGGGGGAGATGGGGAGGATAATGAAAAGAGAGAGAAATTGAAGCCCAAGGTCAGGGAAAAACTTCCTAGCCACGACAGCCTTCCCAAAGTGGAACTAGCTGCCTTGGAAGGTAATGAGCTTCCCATCACTGGAGGTATTCAAACAGAAGTTGGGAGGTTGTGGATGGACCATATGGGTTAGACCAGAGGGTCGATAAGCTTTGGGGTCAGACTGAATAGGAGAGGGAGGAAGTCAGCGCAAGGAAAAAAACCCAAGGCTTAAAGGGCTCACCCCACTCACCCTCCAGAAGGTGCACAAAGGGCTCGGGGCAGGTCGATGGGATGGGTAACATCAGCTTGTTCATGGCCACCCCATAGGCCACAGCCAGCGCATCGATCTCCCGGTAGGGCACTTCCCCCGTCAGCAGCTCCCAGAGCAGCACCCCAAAGCTAAGGACAGATGGGAACTGCAGGGACCGAGCCGGTCCTCTCTGCCCACCGCACGCCCTCTGCCTGTCCACTTCCGATGCTGTACTCTGGCTTGGGGGACGGGGAATCGGGCCTGTGCCGCTTGGGCCCAGACGCCCAGACTGGGACTGAAGGAGGCAGATTCCCACGGAATAGAAGGGGGAAACTTCCCAGCAGTTAGAACTGGGCTGACCATGGGAAAGGCTGCCATGACAGGAAGTGAGCTCCCCACCCCTGGAGCAATTCAAGACAACTGCTCTTGTGGGTGAGGTTGAAGGGACATTTGTGCTAAGGGGAGGGATGGAATTAGATACTGTCTGAGCTCCCTCATCTGCAGAGAGAAGGGGTGAGAGCAGACGATGCCTGAGTGCTCTGGTCCCGCATGCCTCCCTCATCTCCTGCTGGCTCCAGCTCCTGTGCCAACAAGGACCAGGGAACCCCAGCTGCCCTGCACCCCCCCTTCATGGGCACCTGTTTCACCCCCACAGAGTGGAAGGAGCCTTGGAGCCAGGCGGTCATTCGGTAGTCATGTGACCTTGAAAAAATCACCTCCCCACTCTGGGCCTCAGGCCTCCCCTCCCCTCTGCTGGGGATGGACTGTGAAGATTCTCAGGTCCTTTACCACCCTGGTGTTCCAGGTTCTAAGCCCCTTCCAGCTCTGACATTTCCTGTTCTGGTGGTCGTCCCAGCCCTAACATGGACTGTTCTAAGGCCCCTCTCAGTCCTGACATTCTCTGTTCTAAGGGCCCTCCCATCTCTGACATTCCTTGTTCTAAGGCCCCCACCAGCTCTGATATTTCTCTGGTCTAAGGCCCCTCCAGGCTCTGACTTTCCCTGTACTAAGGCCCTCCCAGCTCTGACATTCTCTGTTCTCAGCCCCACCCCCACCCCACCCCCAGCCCTGACATTGACTGTTCTAACTCCCCTCCCAGCTCTGATATTTCCCTGGTCTAAGGGCCCTTCCAACTCTGATTTTCCCTGTTCTAAGGGCCCTTCCAACTCTGATTTTCCCTGTTCTAAGGGCCCTTCCAACTCTGATTTTCCCTGTTCTAAGGGCCCTCTGCTTTTGACCATTCTTTGACTGGAGCATCCCATTCAGATTTGATCAGTATCCAGGAAACCCCTCAGAGGCCAGTTTCTCCCCAGCTGCTAGGCACCCTGCCCTTCCTGGAGCCCTGAACCTGGCCCGTCTCCCTGCCTGCCCTTGCCTGTGGCCCGCTGCCTCCTGTGGGCTGTGTTCTGAGTCTCAGCCCCTCCCCCTCCTCCCTGTCCCTGGCCATACCTCCAGACATCACTGCTCTTGGAGAAGAGGGACAGGCGGATGACCTCGGGGGCCATCCAGGCATATGTCCCTGCTGCACTCATTTTGGTCGTCTTGTGCCACTCCCGGGCCAGGCCAAAGTCCGTGATCTTGAGGACGGTGTCTGACAGGTCCCCGTTCTCGAATGCATCCAAGATGAGGACTGTGGAGGAGGGAAAAAGACAGGAGAGAAGCCTGCTGCAGAGGTGGAAAAGAGACCTTCCTCCTGTCTTCTTGGAGTCCTCCTCCCAGCTAAGCAGGCCCAGTCACCAGCAGGCACCCCTCCACCCACAGGCTCTCAAGCCTAGACTTCAAGGCCTCAGCAGTCTGGGCCGAGACCCCATCTGTCTTCTCGTCCCCAGCCACTGCCCCAGCCAGGCTTCACCCATGCCAGGCAAGCTCCCACCTGGGGCAGCCTCCCCTGAGGAGAATGCCCCCTTCCAATGCCCATTCCCATGTTGACATCCCAAGTCTATAACGCTACCTTTTTTTAAGCCTGCTAACTCTTTCAAAGTGCTCTGTGGCACAAATGTGGCCCATTTATTGGATTGGATTGCAGGGACATCTGTCCTAGCTGCAGGGAAAAGCAGCTCCACCCTCTATCTACCTCTGCCCAGAAAGGCTCCGTAGGAGGTGTTGGGTGCACTGGGTGGGAGCCAGGAGGCCAGTGCATCCTGACGGCCTGGTGCCGGGAGCCTGACGTCCTGTGGTCCCTGGAGGCTCTGATTCTCCTTGGGTCCTTCTGATCTGAGGGCCCCAGAACGGTAGGGCTGGAGAGGCCCCTGAGGTACCACCTTATTCAACACTTTCATTTTACAGGCAGGGAAGAATTTGAAGGCCTTGGGGCAAGCGAAACGAAGTTTACCAAGCACTCTTCATGTCTGCAAACCTCTTTCCATTACACAATCTGATACCAGCCTCACAACAGCCCCATGAAGTGGGTACTATGGGGGGTAATGCCTCCATTTTACAGAGGGGGAAACTGAGGCTCCAAGGAGTCAAGTGACTTGCCCAGGTTCACACATTAAGTAAGTATCAGAGGTTTTTCTGACTCCAAACCTAAAACTCGAGCTAGTTCCTCTACCATTGCTGGATCTTAATGCCTGACCTCTCTCCTTAAGTCAGGGTCATTCATTCCAACACTCATCTATCTATTCAACAACCAACTAGTATATATTAAGTATCTGCTATGTGCTAGGCACTGTGCTGGTCATTAGGGATAAGGACAAAAATAAAAACAATCCCTTGTACCCGTGCTCCCAGCCCCCAGGTAGGAGATGGGCATCTGAGCCTTGAAGAAAGCAACAGATTCTAAGGAAGAGGGAGGGCATAACAGGTAAAGGAGGCAGCTTGTGCAAAGGTACGGAGGCAGGAGGTGTGTGTGTGTGTGTGAGGGGTGTGTGTGTGTGTGTGTGTGTGTGTGTGTGTGTGTGTGTGTGTGACAGGGTGTGAAGGGATGGATCACCATATAAAAATAAGACCCAGCTAGAGGCAACATAGCGTAGAGGCAAGATCTTTGAAGCCAGGAGCAAATTTGGCCATAGAATGCTGGGTGGTGGATGGGATGACCTCTACAGTCTCTCTTGTGAGCCCGTCCCTGGAGGGCAGAGATTGCTTCAGTTTTGGTTTTGTACCCTTGGTGCCTGGCACTTTTTGGGGGGGGAACCAGATCTGTGATTTAATCCATTAAAAATTAAAAACAGGGGACTCCTCCCCACGTGCTATACAGATTAAGGACTTGTCTGGAGCACTTAGAGGTAAAGAGATTCTGCCGGGGTCACCCAGCCAGTGGGTGCCAGACACCGGAGGTCTTCCTGACTCCCAGATCAGCTCTCTACCTGGCGCACAGTAGGCGCTCTAACTGTGCTTTTGACTGACTGACCCAACCAGATGCGTGACCTTGGAAATCAGCTTGCCATTCGGGGTCTAAATTCGCCAAGCTGAGTGGGATTGGGTGGGCCCTCTGGTCCCATCCTGCTCTAGTCTGTACACATGTCAGTAAAGTGAATTCTGGCGGAAGAGGGTGGGGACCCAGGACAAGGGTTCTGGGCCCTCCCAAGGTTATTTCGGGGGAAATGGACAAAGCATGACCTTCCGTTTTCCATAGCAAAAGAACAACATGCCGCTCCAGGCCCAAGAGGCAGCACTGACCCTCTGAATCTGAGCTGTCCTGGGGTGGGGTGGGGGACAGGACATTGGATTTGGAGCCAGGAGAACCTGGGTTCACAGCCTACTTCAGTGCCTTCTCAGCCGGGTGGCCTCTGGCAAATCCCTTAGCGTCAGTCTCCTTATCTGTCAGAGCAGGGAGACAGACTCTAAGGCCTAGCTTTTGGTCTGTGATGCCATGATGTCAGCACCTTGCCCGTACACAGTGCCCCAGAAGGCATCGCTCTGTTAACAGGGCAGGTAGGCTGGGGGGCCAGCAACTACACAGGACTCCAGGCGTAGAAGGGCCCTTTGTGCAGTGAGGAGTGCTGGTCTGGAATCGGAGGCTATGGGTGCGAATCCTGCCTTTACTTATGGAGCCCTCTCTGGGCCTCAGTTTCCTCACCAATAAAATGAGAAGGTTGGACGAGAAGATGGCCCCAAAGGTCTCTTCCAGCCCTAAATCCATGATCCTAGGGAGTGAACACTAACTTCAGAGCTTAGATTCAAATCCAGGTGATGTTACTAATATCTCTGTGACTTTGGACAGATCTTTTCTCCTTTCTTCTTATCTCCAGTTTCTTCGTATGTAACAAAACTAGTTTCCAAATCCTTGGAATCTGATCGCCTCCACTGACTGAGAGGGAAGCTGAGGCCCAGAGAGGAGAAGGGACTGAGAGGTGGGATGAGGCTGTACTGGAAAGCTCCTGGGCCCCTGGGCTGGGGGTAGAGGGCAGGAGGAGGGAAGCAGCCTCCTATGGAAATGCACAATCAGATTCTCATCTCTCCCCTCTCTCTCTCTCCCATCCCACCTCCTTCCAGCCCAGGGATCCTCCTGACTCCCAGGCCAGGACACCACCTCAGGAAGAACACTGCATCTGGGGCCAAGGACCTGGGTTCGAATCTCTGTGCTGCTAGATACTACCTGTGTGGCCTTAGGCCACTGACTTAAACTCTCTGGGCCTCAGCTGGACCAGATAATCTGTGAGGTCCCTTCTGGCTCAAAATCTAGAGTTCTCTCTCTCCCTTGGGAATGACTGTCCTCACCAGTCCCAGGATCTTCCTTCACTTCTCCAAGTTCAGATCCTTGGCCAACCCTACTGTCCCCATCCTTACCCACCCCCCCACACACACCCCAGTGAGGCTGGGCCTGCCTTGGAAGAGCACAGCTACCTGAGCACCAGGCCTTGAGACATGAACACCAGAGTCAGAAGCAGAGATCCTGGATTCAAATCCTGATTTTGCTGCTCACTACCTGTAATCAAGTCAATGCCACCCCCCCAGTTTTCTTCTCTGCAAAAGATTCAAGTGCAAGATGCTCCCTTTAGCTCTAAACCCTAGAGGCTGAAGGAGAGAGGGAGGGGGCAGGAGACCACTCACTGTTGATGGACTTGAGGTCCCTGTGGATGATGGGCACCGGTGCTCCACTGTGCAGGTACTCCATGCCCCGAGCCACTTGGACGGCCCAGTTGACCAGCACGTGAGGGGGTACCCGGCGGCCGGCCAGGGCCCGGCTTAGAGGCCCTCCTCGGGCATACTCCATGACCAAGCAGAGATGGGGTGGCCGCAAGCAGGCGCCTCGCAAGGCGATGATGTTTGGATGGCAAAGGGCGCCGAAGAGCCGGGCCTCCCTGGCCACCTGCTCTGCAGTGACCGCTGGGTCCCTCTCTGGGTCTAGTCTGGCAGCCTTCACGGCCACCTCCTCACCATGCCACCTGGCTCTGTAGACTTTCCCAAAGCCCCCGACGCCAATGATTTCTTCGAGCTGTAGCTCACCAAAGGGGATCTCCCGGGGCAGAGGGAGGCCGGTGGGGGCAGGGGCTGCCACGCCGGGAGCCACCACGTAGTTGCTGGGGAAGACACCCACGCGCCCACCGGGCAGCTGCCCAGTCCACCAGCCCTCATCACCGGACACAGCCCAGTCCTGGGACAGCACCCGCACCTGGTCTCCCCTTCGGAGGGTAAGCTCCTCCTCTCCCGCAGCCTCATAGTCAAACACAGCAGTCCACAGGGGCCCTGCAGCAGCAGGGACGTCGGGGCCCAGGCCCCACTCTTCAGTCCCCCGCAGGGCTGGGCCCTCCCCACCGTCCTCCTCCTCCTCCATGGGACACGGTGGAGGCTGGGCTCAGGCGGGCCCCCAGCTGGCTGAGCCCCACGTGCTGGGGTGGGGGATAGCCCTGGCTGCTCCTGGGGAGCTCCTGGGGCCCATGGCTGGGGGCAGGGGGCCCAAGGAAGAGACAGGCCTAGAAGATGTCATCAGCATCCCCCCCTCTCTGAATACACCTCGGTGTCCCGGTCTTTCGAAGGGCTGGCCAAAGGGGGCAGGGGTGCAGAGCAAGGTGAAAGCGGTCACCTCTTCCAGGGAGCCCTCGGGGCCTCCAAGCAGCTGGGAGGGGGAGGCCCGCGGGTTGGTGGTGGGGGATGGGGGATCGATCAGCCCCTCCCCTCCGCCAGCCTGCCCTCCCCCTGCCCAGCCGCCCTTACCCAGCGGCGGCGGCCCCCCGCGCCCCCCGGCTTCCCGGCATCCTGGCGCACCCCCACCCCAACCCCTACCCGGGCCCCGGCCCCGGCCTCCTTCCCGGACCGGCCACCTGCGCTCGCTTGAGGACCAGCCGGCTCCCGGAGAGGTTCCCTTAGCTCGAGGGCGGCGGCTCCATCGCCCGCACCTGCCCCGGCTCCGCCCAGCCCAGCCAGTCAGCCTACCCGGGGGTTGTCAGCAGTGCCCGCCCGGGTGGCCCGAGCTGCCGCCTCTGCCGCTGCCACCACTGCCACCGCGCTGGCGCATGGGACTTGTAGTCTGCGCTGCTCCAGCGTGATTTCCACCCCCTCCTCTTTCCCCTCCCTCACGAAGGGGAGGGCCAGGGGCTTCCGAGAAACCAGCCCTCTGGAGCCGACCTTGTCCTTTGGCGGATGGGTAAACTGAGGCGGCCCTGGGGGCGGAGAGGGCTTCAGAAATCCTAGCCCTGGGCAACCCGGAGGGTCCAGTCTCCTTCAAGAGTGGGTGGGGAAACTGAGGCCAAGGGAAAGGCGAGGTGGAAGGGGTGAGGAGGAGCAGTGATCCTCCTTCTTGGGAAGCCATAGCGGGGTCCGCCTTCGGCTTCTGTAGATGGAGAAACTGAAGCCGGGGGGAGTGGAAAGAAGGGATCATTGGGTCGTAGATTTAGAGCTGAAAGGGATGTTGGAGGCCATCGAGTTCAACCCTCTCATTTACAGATAAAGAAACTGAGGCTCAGAGAAATTAAATGACTAGCCCAGGGACACACAACTAGTAAGTGTCTCAAGCAGGATTTGAACCCAAATCTTCCTGGCTCCAAGTCCAGCCCCCTAGCCCCTGCATCGGTCTGACCCTGGGGATGTATAGGTCTTAGTACTTGGGATTGGATCTAGCCTTCTCTTTTGTCAGGTAAGAAAACGGAGGCCCAGGAAGAGAAGGTGGGGAGGAGGAGGGACTGGTCCAATATCACCTCCCCAAAGCACCGGCTGTATCAGCTCAGGGAAGGAAAAACTGGGGGTCTGTCCCAGTGCGCTGGTGCGCTGGGGCTCCTCCTGCCTTCCAGGGCCAGGACCCAAGCGGCCCCATGCTCTGGACCACCAGCCCGGTGACTCTGGTTCGCTCCTTCTCCTCTCCTGTCACAGTGGAGTTCAGTGAAGCTCGGGCCTGGGGGCAGGAGGGGAAAAGCTTTGAGGGGAGAGATGCAGTCTCAGCTGAGCCGCTGTCCCATCCTCCCCCCCTTCCCCCCTCCTCCAGCTGCCTTCTGGGAAATGTAGTCCTCTCTGTGGGGACAGGAGCCTGACTTATCGCAGGGGTCGGTTTGGTCCTGGGTGAGAGGGAGAGCCTTGAAGCTTGGATTATTCTGAGGTGGGGGTGGGGGCTCAGGTCACAGCTCAAAGGATGAAAAGACAGAGGAGCGTTTAGAGGTCACCCCTTCCTTCCCAGATGGGAAAACCAACGCCCGATCAATCAAAAAGCATCCATTAAGCACCTACTATGTGCCAGGCACTGCCCTAAGCAGGAGGGATGCAAAGCAAGGCAAAATGCAGGCCCTGCCTTCCAGGAGATCCCATCCTAAGGGGAGAGACAATATGCAAGCAACCAGGTGCCACTGAAGATATGGACAGGAGAGGTGGGAACTCTTTTGAGAGGGAGAGGGAAAGACCTCTTGTAGAAGCTGGGCTTTGGGCTGAGGCCTAGAGGAAGCTAGGAAGGCAAGAGGCAGAGATGAGGAGACAGAGTGTTCCAGGCTTTCTAGGCATTCTAGGCATGGGGGGGGGGTCTGTCTCTTCCCCCTCCACCAATTTATGGAATGGCTTTTCTTCCCATCCTAGGCCCCAGCTGGAGGTGAAGAGCTTTCAGTCATCCCCCGGCCCCTTCTTTTAATAATTTTTCTCTTTCACCCTTATTTCATAGTCATTTGCAGGACAGCAGTGGGCTAGTGGGTTTGAAGTCAGGATGACCCGGGTTAAAATCCTACCTCTCATACAAGCTGGGTGGCTGGGCAGGCCACTAAAACCTTGGTTTTACCAATTATAAAATGGGAATGAAAATACATGCACTATTTGTCCGGGCATGGATGGGAGAGAAGGGACTAAGCATTTATTAAGGGCCTACTATGTACTTCACAGATAGGATTTTGTTGGGTCCTCACAACCACCCTGGGAGGTAGGTGCTATTATTATTATCGCCATTTTACAGATGAGGAAACTGAGGCAGGCAGCGGTGAGGTGATTTGCCAGCTAGTAAGTGTCTGAGGCTGGGTTTGAACTCAGGTCTTTCTGACCCTCCTTCAGGTGTTCTGACCACTGTATCACCTAGCTCCCTCACAGAGATTCAATGCGGCATCAAGAGAAATAATGTAGCCAGGGCTTGGCAAATCAGCGTCTCTGGAGAGAGTGAGACAGAGCTGCCTCCCTCCAATCCAATTCAGGCGCAAATCAAGACCGACTCATTGATTCTCTTTGAGAACAAAGGAACAACCTATATTGGAGTAAGCAAGCAAGCAAACATTAGGCACCGACTGTGTGCAAGGCCCTGGAGATACAGAGAGGAAATCAAAAGCGTCCCTGCCCTCAGAGAGCTAGTATTCTAACAGGAGAGACAACTCTTCCGTGCAGACATTACTCTTCTTTGTGTATGTTGCAGACTCGGTGAGGGCAAGGTCTCTGGCATCTGTCTTTGTCTCTTTGTATACCCATGTTGAAGTATACAACCTTGTATACACTAAATGTCTAACAACAGCTGACTTCTCTAGGCTTTAAAGTTGACTGGGCGATGTTCATACATTGCCTCTTCTGTTGCATTGGCTTCCCTCATTCCTTCGATTATTGAGAACCTTTCCTCCACTCCCTCCCCTCACAGATCTCACCCCCAGAGGCAGCTAGGAGGCTCCATGGCACACAGAGTGATGGGCTCTGCAACTGGGAAAACCTGAGTTCAAATCCAGCCTCAGACACTTACTATTCCTAGCTCAGTCTCCTCATTTTTAACGGGATAAGAACAGTGATGAGGATCAAATGAGATAATGCTTGTAAAGCAGTTAGCGCAGTGCCTGGCTTCTAGCAGGCACCTTATTAGGTGCTTATTTCCCTCCCTCCCTTTCTTCTGTGACTAGATCAGTGGATAGACTTGAAGCCGGGAAGAACTGACCTTAAACTCTGACCTCCTACACTTACTAACTGCGTGACCTTGGGCAAGTCCCCTGAACCTTAGTTTCTCCATCTGTAAAATAGGGACCAATAAATGGTGTCCACTGACCAACTCAATTCTCTACCCCATCCCCACAAGTGTGTAGTGTTTGTTGATTCGAATAGGAATGGAATTCTGGGTTCAGATTCATTGATTGTTGGATATGGAAGGGACTTTTGAGAACACCTATGCTATCTCCATATTTTATTTATTTATTTTAATATTTTATGGATGCTTTTTTTTGTGCCTGATCACTTCCTAATACCTCACCCTGACTTGCCCCAGTCCCCACATAGAACCTAGGAAAACTTCAGCCAAACCAAGTAATGGAGAGAGCATTTCTGACAGAGTATGCAGCATCCTGTACCAGTGGGCCACCACCTCTCAAAGGAGAGAAAGGAGATGGTTCTCTGGAACCGAGATGGTAATTGCCTCTTAATATGGATTCTTATGACATTTCCAGTTGTTTTCACTTTGGTAATGACATATTTTGTTCTCCTGGTTCTACTGTCTTCATTTAGCGTCAGGTCATATCTGTCTTCTCATTTCTATGAATTCTCTATAGCCATCATTTCTTTTTTTTATTAATTTATTTTGATTTATCAATAATCACTTTCATATGTTTTTGAGTTTAAATTTTTTTCCCCCTTTCTCCCTACCATCCTCCCCAAGATGGTGCACAATCTGATATAGGCTATACATTTACATTCATATTAAACGTATTTTCACATTAGTGATATTGTAAGTAGAAATTAAAACCAATAGGAGGAACCATCAGAAAGAGGAAACAAAACTCAACAGAAGAGAAAAAAAATAACAATTAGGCTTCCATAGTTCTTTCTTTGGATGTGGATAGCATTTTCCATCACAAGGCCTCTGGAGATGTCTTAGATCCTTGTATTGCCAAGAAGGGTTAAGTTTATCAATATTAGTCATCACACAATGTGGCTGTTATTGTGTACAACGTTCTCTTGGTTCTGCTCACTTTACTCAGCATCAGACCATACGAGTCTTTCCAGGTTTTTCTGAAGTCAGCCTGTTCATCATTTCTTATAGCACAATAGTATTCCATCACATTCATATACCATGACTTGTTCAGCCATTCCCCAATTGATGGGCATCCTCTCAATTTCCAACTCTTTGCCACCACAAAAAGAGCTGCTATGAATATTCCTGTACATGTAGGTCCTTTTCCCGTTTGTGTGATCTCTTTGGGATATAGCCCTAGAAGTGTATAGCCATCATTTCTTACAGCATTAGAAAACACATTCATGTGCTGCAGTTTGCTTAGCCATTCCTGTCTGTGTTCCCATTTTACAGAGGAGGAGACTGAGGCCTCAGAGTTTCTCTTTTACAGTTTTGGGGCCAGGGAGAGGGAAGGAAAAAGGTGGGGCAGCTAGGTGGCACAGTGGATAAAGCACTGGCCCTGAAGTCAGGAAGACCTGAGTTCAACTTCTGCCTCAGACCAAACACTTTACACTTACTAGCTGTGTGACCCTGAGCAAGTCACTTAACCCCAATTGCCTAAGCAAAAAAAAAAAAAGAAAAAGAACAAAAGGGGGAGGAAAGAAAGTTACATGATAACTTTAATATATTTTTAAAAGGAATAGCAAGTTGTACATAATAGATTTGCAGTTTCATGTGCAATCATTTTTTTTTCTATTCTGCTATGTTATGGAAATACTTGTTTTATTTCTTAAGTTCAGAATAAAATAAA